TTTTGATTTTGGGTTGAGTTTCGGATTAATAAAAATGAAAAAATAAAAAAAATTAAAGTTATCGTTATAAAAAAAAATGGTTAATCACCAAAATTATTTTTATAATAATGTCATGTGAAATGCGATTATAAATAGTTTATTTATTAATTATTTAATATGCAAAAATCTTTTTTCCTGATGATAGTGATTAACATATAGTTGTGATTATAAAAAGGATAAATAAATATTATATTTTTGGGACATTAAAATTAAGTGATTATAGACAGGATGTGATTATAGACAGGGTGATTATAGACAGGTCTGACTGTATCTATTATCTAGAATTTGAATTTGTCATCTAGAGTAAATAAATTCTCTAAGTTTCTTCTAATTTCCTAAACCTTTAAATTTGTAAAATTACATGAAGTAATTCCAAGAATTTTAGATACCTGTAAAATGTAAAATTTTCTAAAGTTGTAAAGTCTGATGATAAGGAACTTACTTGTCACAGTTAGATAATTTAGACAAAAACATGAAAAGAGAATTATTCACAGTAATAATATAATTAATATCAAGATATACATTAAATTAAATTATTTAAAAATTATTTTAATATTTTGTTATTAATAAAAGTTATGTATTTTTTATTTTTTATATTTTTAATTAATACATAAAACTATATTAATTAGGTTAGATTTGCTATTATTTTAAAAATTATCAATAATTTTAAAATATTACAAGATTGTAATAATTAAATAAGGTTTATAATACTAAGTTAAGTTGTAGATTTAATAATTTTCTACAATATTACATATTACAAAAAATTATTAACAAATTCAATTAATGCAAAATGTTGACGCATTTGTGCTTGTATTGTTTTTTCAATTTTTAAAGTCAGTCTATATTATAAATTACTTATATAAAATTTAATTTGAAATTAATAATATATAAGTCAATTTTATTAAATTTATTTGATTGTTTACCTTAAATAATTCATCAATTGCTTTTGTGTTTGCTGAATTATGACATATAAAGTTATTTTCTTTTAATTTAAGTCATTCTGTTTGATTCTTTAATATTTCTTTGATACCTGCTATACTTTCTTTTAATTCAAATTCAAATTTATTAGATTCTTTAGCCTTTTTACAGATTTTGTCTAAGATATTTACTGTATCAAATAAACTTTCAGATGCAGCATTTATTGAATCATGTTTAAATGCAATATCTAAAGATGAAAACTATAATTAATATGTTGCAACTTTTAATATTGCAACATATATTGCAATTAGATTTAACTTATATATATTGCAACTTATAATGTTATAACATATGTTGCAACTAATTTTAGCTTATGTTACAATAAGTTGTAAATTTGAAAGTAATTGTTGCATCATCTTTAGCAATACCTTAAAGTTCCAAATTTAAAGTATTTATAATATATTCTGCAGAAATTGTTCAGCTATAATTTGAAGCTGTATAAATTGCAATAAGCAAATCAAAAATTTTTACTAAGAAAAAGACTAATCAATGTAATTTGTACTGATCCATAATTGCATCGATGATGACCTTCATCAGTATAAAGACATAAAATTGGTAGCATTGTTTGATATATATATTGAATATAAGTGCATTTAAAAATTTAGCTGAATGTCTAATAAGAGTACTTGGTTCAAAAATTGTATTCTTATAAAATACAACTACAAATTCTATAAGTTTTTTTTTTTCGCAGGGAGTATGCTTGCCATTGGAGCATTTCGATCATATCAAGTTAGGAGTTTAATCAGATATTAAAAAAATAGAATAGATATAAGAACGAGATGGATCTAGTTTATGTAGAATATTGAAACCTAAAAGAAGCTGCCAATGCAATTAATGAAATGATGTTATTATCTGTAATTTTTTTTTCTTTGCCTTTTTACAACGAAAAAGGAATTTTACAATGGAAATTTTAATGTTAAATTATGAAAAAAGCGTGTATAATTCTTTTTGAAAAAAAAAATCATTGCAAAGTATTGAATACACATAGGCTGTGAAAATTGTCTTAAACCTTTAATTTTTCTAAAGGCATATATACACTTTTACGTCAAAAATTGGTTTTTAAAAACTTTATTACATTTTAGATCAAGCTTATGTATAACGATAATATTCGGTACATTTTTTTATTAAAAAAAAAGAAGAAAGAATCCTCTTTTGGAAAGTAATAAGTTTTGAGAATTTTGGTCAATTAACTGAGTAATGACAAATTTTTTTTAAAAAAATGATTCAGACATGAATAATAATACAAAAATATTAATTTATTTTGGGGGGAAGAAATATACATTTTAAACACATATAACAAAAGTTTAGTCAATCAATAAAATTTTTCTCTCTTTTTTATATTGACCTTTAAATTAAAAGAATGATTTATACCAAAGTACATTACTTTGGCAGGACTAACTTTATCAACTAATTCAATATTATATTTTCTAAATAATAATATTAATAAACATTTTAATATTATCATGGCCATATTTTTTCCTGGACAATTTCTAATAATACCTTCACACCAAGGTATAAATATGTTGTTACCTAATCCGTTATTTAAAAATCGCTCCGGTATGAATCTTTCTGATTCATGCCAAGAATTTTCATCTTTATGTAGTTTTTCTTGATGTAACCATATCGGGGTATCCTTCTCTATTATATGCCCATTAAGTATTATTTTATTATGTGATTGAAGTGGTATTAATGGATTTAATGGGATGATTCTTTGTGCCTCTTTAATTATTGCTTCGAGATATTTGAATTTACTTAAATCTTCGAACTTTATCGGTCGTAAGAAATCGGTACCCAATACTTCAACAATTTCTTCACGAAATTCTTGCAAAACTTTGGGATGTTTGCAAATATTATACACCGTAAAGCAAAATGTACTTGCAGTCTACAACCATAAAGATGAGAAGAAAAATAAAAATCAATATACGTATAAATTTAAATGGAAATACAAGAAGGTTCATAAATTTACCGGATCGCGCCCACCAATATCTATGTCCAATATAATGGCAAGAATTTCATTATCGGACATTGATTTATTACTTTTATCATTTTTATCCGAATTCTCATCGAATCCATTCGGATCACGTGTAGTATTTATGGTCAACAAAATATCCAATAAATCTGATGAATCGATAGGTTCCTTTTCCTTCAATAAAGCGATCTCATTCCTCCTTTGTTTAATAATTTCTAACAAATTATAAAATAACCAATTATTATTTCTTTTAAAAGTTTCTGATAAACCTTTGAATCCTGGTAAATAATTTCTAATTATTCGAGGAATTGAATTGGAATAAATTATTGAATTAAAATAATTTTCAATCGAATTAAAAAATTTCAATGAATTATTTATCTTCTCTTGTTTGACATTATGATCGACGTTATTATTGACCTTCAATAAACAATACGAGGAATTCTTCGTTGAGGTTGATAAGATTATATCGGTTAAAAAATATCTACTCCAAACAGATAAATCTAATGAGATCAAATCATCATTTATTCCCTGTTGTTGTCTTTGCTGTAATTGTTTATTCCAATTTAATTCTACTTCATTAAAAATATGTTGAATGGATTTCGTGAGTCCCCTTAAAAATCTCATGGAACAAACGGATTTCTCAAAAAATTTCCTATAATATTTCCATTTCTCATAATTATTATTAAATATAACTCCATAATTGATAATAATATTCATCGAATCTAATTTAATGTCTTTATACTTTGTAAAATAATTTATTGAATTGTTTTCCTTGCATAATTCTTTTATCAAATTTGGTCGTGATATGACAACATTCCTTTGATTCCCTATGAAAAATTCCCAAAAATCCCCGTGCTTACTCGTTTGACCATTGGCGAATTTATCAAATCTAATGCCAATTTGATGTAAATTTCCTATGAATGGTAAAGGGATAGGACCTGGAAGGGAGTATCTTTGTTTATTAATCAAATATCTAATATAATATTGTAAAATGTAAAATATTAATGAGAAAAATAAGAATTGCTTAAGGGTTTCCAAAGAAATTAAATTAAAATTTAACGACAAAAAATAATTTATAAAAAAAAACATTATCTATATAATAAAAGAAAAAAAAAATTAAACTTCAAAAATGGTTATTTCAAAAGGTTTCTTATTATATTGACTCTTTGAGAAATGGAAAAAAAAAAGTGAAACGTACATGCTTGTTTACTTTTTTAAACCTCAAAGATAATATTTTATAATATAATTAATATATGAAATGGTTTTTTTATTGGTTTTATTATTGAATAGTTAAATAAATTACATGCATGATAATGCGTCTAATCTAAGCAATAGATCAGCCAATAAATAAATAAACGTCGGTTTACGTGACGCAGTAGATTATCGATAAAAAATTTTGATGCTAGATTACTTTATTTAAAAAAAAATGGTCAAATAACATGCGACAAATAGGTTTCCCTACTAACGTCCCAAAAATGTCCTCGGAATAATAAGCAAAGGGACGTGATACTAGGTGATAAATAATCAAAAATCTCTAACCCTAAAAACCTTTGTAAAACCTGCGTCAAAATGATAAATACTTAAGCAGTAACCTTTCGCAACTTATCCTCATTTTTTCTTAACTTTTCTTCCGTCCTCTTTTCGTAATTTCTTATCCTATTAGGATATTTAGATTTATGTTCTCGAGCTAATTGTTTCTCTTGAGATTGGTTAAAAGTCTTATTCATCTTTTTAACATCTGATTTTGTTATGCGATGTCGATTTCTTGAGAATTTCAATGATTGTAATGATTCATGAATTAACGCCTCACATCTTGTTTTCATTTCAAGTGCTTCTTCGATATTCAAGAACGTTTCAGGAAATCGATAACTGTAACCATAGATTGATATTAATGCAATTGTTAATAGAAAATACACATCTTACCTTCTGCAAATCTTAAAATATAATACCTTAGCCATAAATATAGCATGATGATACGATGTTTTGATTCAATGTAAGATAATGTTTGTATGTCCCGTGGTACTTTGGCATCAAGATGCAAAATTGAACCAAGTGAGACGGGTATGCGGTCACTATGATATTTCGCAAGCTGTATATAGAAAAGACGATATTCAACTTTTATAATGTATACGAAACTAACATAATTCTGAATAATACCTTTTTAATAACTAGCATGAGTTTTGGATCCGATGAATTTATAGGTGACGTTGCAAAAATGAAACGTTCCGGTATAGTCAAATCAACATGTTCAATCGACTTGGCGATTATCTAAAGTATTGTTAATTAAGAATTTCGTTAATTTATTTCTAAAATTTTGGACAGAGAAATATTGATAGTTACTTTTTGAGAATCGAAATTACACAAGAAGAATTGACCATCAACTCGAGCTAAATCCTCAAATTTTTCCTTTTTTTTTAAAAAAAAAAAAAAAAATTATATAATAACAAAAATATAATTAATGATATTTGAATATAGTGACTTTTAGAAATATTTTTAAGAAATCCTGAAAAAACAAACCAAGAGCTTTTCAAATTGTTCGATACCGGATAGTTGGTGAGCAAATTGTTCAACCATCTCCATAGTAGGTTGTAATCCAGCAACCTATTCAAAATAAATTGACATAATTTTTCTTAAATATCATACTTGATAAATCTTTAAATTAGAAATAATTACCTCTAATTCAATAGAAGGTGTTTGCATGGCTTTTTGTACATATCTCATGTCTTGGGATTCCAATCTAATAAAAATTGGTGTTTAATTAGTATACATCAAGTCGGTAGTAATGACTGTAATTGATTCTTACGCAGTAACTTCACCGATTGGATTATCGAAACCATATCGCCCAGCTCGTCCGGCGATTTGTTTAATTTGTGGAATCGAAATATATCTGATTTCCTTGCCATCAAATTTCTTTACAGTCTCAAAGATAATTCGACGGATATTACTTGAGGAAAAAAAAATTAATAATTCCCAAACAATCTAAATCTAATAAATCCTTTAAATCCAAATTTTAATCTCACAGATTTAAGCCCATTCCGACCGCATCACTAGCAATCAAAACATCATATCCACTATTAGGATCATTGAACAATTTAGCTTGCATGGCTCTAGTTTCTTAATAATCGCATTTTTTTTTTGAATAAAAATTAGTAATCAATCAAATAATCAAGTACATGGAATTTCAAATAGATTTTTACCTGGAGGTAAAGCTCCGTAGACGACAGCACATCGAAGACCTGTAACTTGTTCAATTTCGTTTTTAAGACCAAAAATGGCCTTTCTAGAAAATGTCACCACACAATCTCCTTTTTGAATTTTCCCTAGATCGCCGTTGAGACTTTCATCGGCCACAACAAGTTTCGAAAGTCTACGATACTCTCTAACCTCAACATCTTCATTTAAACTAGCACATACTGATTTCACTAATTTGACAGCTGAAGCCTCTCCGCATAAGTGGATTTCTTTTGCTTGCAAACCCAATAATGCTTGAGTCCACGCCCAACCTCTTTGTTGATCAGAAATCATTTGAATCTCATCAATCACAGCTACATCTAATTGACTATTTAAATTGGCCATTTCTATAGTTGAAGAGGTTAAACGAACATCACATCCTTTTAATTCCCTCCTTTCCTCTCCCGTTACAAGGTTACAGGGGATACTTTTGGTATTCATTCTATCAAAGATTTCATGAGCAAGTAATCTTAAGGGACCACAATATATGCCAGATTCAGACTTTTCTAAACATTTCAATGCGTTATAGGTTTTCCCTGAATTTGTAGGACCAACATGCATAATGATTTTGCTATAATATTATGTATTTTAAATAAAAATTTCAAAAAAAAAAAAAAATTTTATAACATTGCAAAAAAGCATACCGTTGCATAGTTCTTGCAGCCGGATGCCATTCTGCAGGAAAACTCAAATCACTTAATTGTTTCAATGAATGATATTTTTCTTTATCCTGCTCTTCCAAATATTCTGGTATATACTCTAAAAATTCACTTGTTAAAGCTTTTTTAACACCCTCTTTCTATGACAGTTGAAAAAAAAGTTAAATAATAAAATTCAAATTAAAATAAAATAAAATAAGAAATATTTTTTTACCCCATTAGCGTCATAGGCAGCACGTAAATCTTCAGTCTTACACCTTTGAAGTTTATTATTCCAAACTTCGTCAGCAAATTGTTTGATTACTTTTTTAAACTTATGAGGTGGCAACCCTAACTCTAATGATTTTTTCTTAATTTCATGTGAAGTTTTAAATCGAAGTAATAAATCAGATAATAAATCTTTATTCCAGTTTAATTTAAGTCCTAATGCTTCTTCAAATAATAAACTTCCTTTTAATGACTGTGATTCTCTATGTTCTCTCTGTTCCGAAAATGTTTTATGTATAGCTTTCGATAAATGATTTATTATATTATGTTTCTGCGGTGCTAAATGATTAAATGGCGGTGAATTTGGAGAAAAATCTCTATTAGAAGGTTTACTCGCTTGACGCGATAATATTCTAGATGTTGAGAATGGAGATATGTGATTATTTTGAAAAGAAAAAATGTCTGAAAACTTTGATTTCGATATTATTCGACATATATTAAATTTTGAGTTCAAACATTGTGAAAAAAATAATTTAGAATAAATATTAGTTCGACGAGACGTTGTATAATTAAACTTCATTTTGTAAGTTTGTTAAAAGAAAAAAATTTTTTTTATTTTTAGTCGAATTTGAGTGACATCACACAAACCGAAACGTGACAATACAAAAAAAAAAATAGGTCTAAAAACATTAATTCGAAATATGAAGTTAATTTCTTAATTTATAAATCATATTTCTAGAATTAATAACAAAGATGGCACCATCATAATTAATTGAAGCACTTTTAACATCATTTCTTTTCCAAGCCCAAATCCCATGATTATATTCCCATAATCTATTATCGTAGTCAATTCCGATTGCACGTTGTTCAGATAGAGCTTTGATTTGCTTAAATGGAGCTTCTGATCTAGGAATACTATCATTAATATGGAAAAACAATGAAGTTAAAAAAAAGAGAGGATATATTTTAATTACGAACTTAAATACTTAAATAGATAACTTACTGTTTATGTTTATTTATGTATCGATAAGCAAGTAAAAAACTACCTCTAATCCATAAAGAATCATCAAGAAAGGCACAAGAAACTTGATAATAAGTATAATAACTATCAACTAAAATATATAAACATTCAATTAATGCATTTTCTGTCTTGCACAAATGGTTGGTTTATGATTTTACTTACTAATTGTCCAATTGTATGTGTCAATATTCTCGGGATAAGAAGCATCATAAAAGCCAACTATTAAATCGTTATTTCCATTTGTTGTCAATATTTTATTGTAATCACAGATCGAAATGGTTTGATGCGTGTATCTTCCATCATCTATTCTATACCTATATGACAAAGATATTATTGAATTTTAAAGTTATAACTTCAAACATGATCACGGTCGTTTATTTGATACTTTACCACCAATTTGTATTTAAATTTCTAATGAAGATTTCATTATTACCACAAACACAAACGACCGTTCCCTCTTTACCGACAGCAAAATCTAAAACATTTTCTTGCTTTATTACAAAACTATGTAAGATCGTACTCCAATGATATAGCTATTAATTAATCGTTAACATTACGTTAATTAGACGTCATCAAATATTGGATAGCCCGAAAAAATATACATCACTTTATCTGTATCAGTTAAAATCCAAACGTCTTCTCCCTGACCAACGTCGATTTTTTTGATTGGAAAATCGGGAAATGGAATTAATTTCTCTTGATTATTTTCCAAATTCAATCTATCATCATCAATAAACAGGTATGTAATCAAGATAATAATTGCAACGAAAGTTAACCGTAAAAGTTTGTCATAGAATGCCATTTTTTGTTTGTTAATTAAATGAACAATAGTAAGTTTTGATTATGAAAATATAAATCCTGCTTTTCGTTGATAATCTAGAATTATCACGTGAAATCCAGCGAAATTTGCTCCATATTAATTCTTTCCTATTCAGTTTATTTAACTCTGGACGGAACTATAAATATAAAATTGACCAGAATTAACAAAAGTTCGCCAATAGGTTTATATGATAACGATCAAAATTTTTTTTATGTATATTTTAGACTAGTTTTAAATAAAATGCTATATTTAAAAGTAACTACTTAAAATCACCACGAACAAATTGTTAATACCTGGATATTATAATAGGATTTTTTTTAAAATAAAAATTCATTTTTATCCATTTTATATATAATTTTTATTAAATCGAAAATTTATTAATAAAACACTTTAAATATCTTTATTAATTAAAAGGCATAATATATTAGATTTTTTTAATATAAAATATTATGTCATAATTTATTATATAAAATATAAAATTTTCTTTTTAATTATTATGATTTAAATTATCTGAAAATTCATTATTTTGATTATCCAATAATATATTATCATTAAGATTCTTCTTATCTTTGCAAAAAATCAAATAATATATCATTTTCACTATTATTAGTTTTAATGAAATATCATAACATATTAAGCTTCATTATAATAAGTAACCAAAAATCATCTGATATAATAGATTATATTGTTACAGGGTAATTATAACAAGAAAATGTGATACAGCAAATAATCAACATGTTTTACAAAATTGATTTACTAGAAAATTTACAAATAATTTACACATGTAATATTAGAAATATTAAACAAATATTAATATTATATATTTGATATATCAGACATACCTAACATTTCTGATATTTATAATATGTCTGACATATATGATATATGCATCCAAACTGTCAGAGGTGACTTTTATTATAAAATAATAATAATAAAATTCGCATCTGATCTGACATGATTAACAAATAGGACATATTAAACAGATATAATATATTAGATATATCTGATATATTAGTTATATATTAGAATAAAAGAAAGTTAGATTTTCTCTAGCCTAATACTAATGTACTTATTCATCTTTTCATTACCCTTTTATTTTTATTATTCCTATATATTTTTTATCTTTAATAAACTTATTTTACATGTGTAATATTGGAAATATAATAATTAATTGCTATATAATTTATGATTTATAAAGTGTTCTTTTACTTAAAAATATATATATTATTATAATTATTTTAATAGTTATCAATAAAAAGCAATTACTCAAATACCTCGTCTACCGTTATAGTTTATAAAAATCACATGTTAACAATATGATTTTTACTTTATCATATTATTTGCTGAATTAAGCAAATCTGATAAACATACAGAATATGCTAAATCTGTATAATATATTAAATATATTATATATGCTTAAGATTATTAGATAAAATCTAGAGTTTAGACAGTTGTCTAAATAGTAAAGGTAAAACTTAGTTAAATTATATTAAAATTTTATTAAAAAATCTGCAAAATTCAGAAAAAGGTAAAACTATATTAAAATTTATAAAAATAGTAAAACTATATCATATATTTAGTAAAATTTAGCGAAATTAAGGTTTAGACATATAACCAAATCAAAAATAAGTTTAGACAAGTAATCTTATATATGCCTGATACATAAGAAATACTAAATATATTAAAGATTATATTTTTATTTTTTTATTTTCATAATTTATATTTATTATTATTATTAAATTTCTTATAAATAGGTTAACTTTAGAAGTTTGTTAATGATAAGATTTTAATAATAAGAATTTTACTTAGCTTTATTGATAACAAAATAATTACTAAACATACTTGTATGCTAACAAATACAAATATAATTCTTTTTATAAGCTAAACTAATTTATGAGTCTCATGAGTTAGTTCATTTAAGCTGCAATAAATAGTTTATGAATCAGTTAAGTCAATTTATGCTATAGTTTAATTTGTGGTTTAACTTGTCAGTTTAGATTTATCAAAAAAATCCAAAAATAACCAATAGTATTTCAGTTAAAGATGGACACTATAATTAAGAAGTTGCAATTTGGTTACAACTCCTTGTAAATTTATTTTAATATAAAAATTCATAAATAGTTACAACTTAAAGTGTTGTAACTTAAGTTGCAACTAGTTAAAAATTTTAAAAATAATTATAGGAACCATCTTTAATTTCAGTAATTTCAGTTAAAGAAAATGCATTCAAAGTATTAAGCTTTAAAGAAAAATGCTATCAAAGCGTTAGCTTCAAAAATAACTATACTAAAGTGTTTTCTTTTAAGAAAAATATGAAATATACAGTCAACTCTTTCTACAATGAATTTTGATATAACAAATTTTACAATACAACAGATTTTCAGTGTCAGATAGATTTTTAAATATAAAAAAACCCTTACTATACCGAATTTAGTAATTAAAAATTCGTATTATGTTTAACGAATTAAAGTCAGAAAAATTTGTATATAAAATAACTCTTTTTATAACGAATTTTCTCTATAATGAATTTTTTTTTTGATACAACGAAGTTTTGCTTAAAATGAATTTTACTAGATTTATGTGTATAAAATTATGTAGATT